CGTGTAAAAAGGGAGACTGGCGTCCCTTTGCAAAGATGGCGGCTGTGGCTTCATTTAGGGTAGGGAAGCTGCAGCTGCCATCTTTGCAAAGGGCAGGCTGGATTCCCTTAAGACCTCGGCAGCAGCAATTAAGGTAAGAAGGTGTCAGTGGGGGTGGTGTGGGGCCTAAGGTAAGGAAAGGAAAGGGGTGGAGTAGGCTGTGGTATTGGGTGGCTGTGTAGGGTGGTGTCTGCCTTTCTGCCACCAATCAGCTGATCGGCAGCCGGTAGGCAGAATGGTGGGGTTTTTGTTTACTTTTTTATACGAAGGACAAATAAAAACAGGTAAATATTCATCCCTTCATATTCGTGGGGGTCTCTGGAACCCACAAATACAGATCAATTAATATTTAACAAATCAGCTGCATTTGTCAGAAAAACCATGTTTACTTTTTTATACGAAGGACAAATAAAAACAGGTAAATATTCATCCCTTCATATTCGTGGGGGTCTCTGGAACCCACAAATACAGATCAATTAATATTTAACAAATCAGCTGTATTTGTCAGAAAAACCAATCCATTTTTATATTCCCCATCTCTACCCATGAGCACAGTTTTGGCTGCAGTACAGCAGTTTAACCTGTGCACCATGAAGTTTTTTCTTCATAATTTAGAAGTCTGGTTGTGGAGATACTGTTCCTTAGAAAACATTAGAAAATCCTTTTATTAGAGGGTTGGTAAGTTAATTGTTGGGACGTGGTGGTGCTGCAGGTCAAACCGCAGAAGCCTCTGTACTGCAAGTTCAGAAGACCAGCAGTTGTAAGATGGAATCCATGCAACGCAGTGAGCTCCCGTTGCTTGTCCCATCTCCTGCCAGCTTAGCAGTTTGAAAGCATATAAATGCGAGTAGATAAATAGGTACCACTGTGGTGGGAAGGCAATGGCGTTCGGTATCTAGTCATGCTGGCCATGTGACCACAGAAACTGTCTACAGACAAACGCTGGCTCTACGGCTTGGAGATGGGGATGAGCACCATGCCCTAGAGTCGGACATGACTGAACTAAATGTCAAGGGGAACCTTTACCTTTACGTAAGTTAATTGTAAGGGAATGGACATTCTCTTTAATATTTACTGCCCCTCATAAAACTGCTGTTTTCTGTTGTTATGCCTCGGAGAGTACAGTAATTAAACGCTGCAGGGGAAGGATAAGAGGGAAGAGAGGTGAGATAAAGGGCAGAGTGTGCCTAGAAATGCCTGGGACATGGATTTGTGCATGCGACATTTGGTGAACAGACCCGCTTATTTGAATTTATGTCTTAGCACTAGTAGCAGACCTTTCTTCATCAGTAGCTTGAGCTGAATATTAGCTTTCATTTGTGTTTTCAAAATAGGAGGCCTCTACTTTGCAGTGTTGTGCACCAGGGACCGAGCAAAGTCCCAGGTTTTTCTCTCTCCCACTCTGAGTCCATTACCTGTTATTAGACACAATGCTTGTATTGTAATACATTCTAGTCCACAAACAGTGAGCAAGGCGCTGGTAAAGTCCTTTAATTTCTGTTGTATTCTAGTAACAGAATGGCTGGGTTCCTTTTGCATAGCTACGTAAATGGAGTAACTTTTGCAGGCAAATGGTCCCAAGTTTTTAAAAAAATCACTGTTGATGTTACCAGCTGCACCCAGAGTCAAGTGCACAACTCAGTGTGCAACAGATAATGTTTACAGTGGTTTCCTAATTTAAGGAAATTGGCCTCCAAAAGTTACACCATTTTAGGCAAGAGGGCAGGGGCCAATGAATTTCATTCTATTGAAATGTTTGTAACTTTAATGAATTTAAATTTTCTATTGTTTTTCTTAACTATAGTGGTGCCTCGCTTAATGACGATAATCCATTCCAGGAAAATCTCTGTTAAGCGAAAATGTCGTAAAGCCAAATTAAAAAACCCATTGAAACACATTGAAAACTGACTGACTGACTGACTGACTGACTGACTGACTGACTGACTGACTGACTGACTGACTGACTGACTGACTGACTGACTGACTGACTGACTGACTGACTGACTGACTGACTGACTGACTGACTGACTGACTGACTGACTGACTGACTGACTGACTGACTGACTGACTGACTGACTGACTGACTGACTGACTGACTGACTGACTGACTGACTGACTGACTGACTGACTGACTGACTGACTGACTGACTGACTGACTGACTGACTGACTGACTGACTGACTGACTGACTGACTGACTGACTGACTGACTGACTGACTGACTGACTGACTGACTGACTGACTGACTGACTGACTGACTGACTGACTGACTGACTGACTGACTGACTGACTGACTGACTGACTGACTGACTGACTGACTGACTGAATGAATGAATGAATGAATGAATGAATGAGACGGTTAAATTTATATCTATAATACAGGGTTGAGGTACTGGTCTGAACTAACATTTCTGTGTAGCAAGAAGCACAACTGCCACACTGGTGCCTAATATCTTACCTAGTTTTCTTGTTATAGCAGGGACTGGTGGTAAGTATGTTGCAATGCATTCTTCTCCCATGCTTCTCAGATCAGAGTTCTGCTGTTCTTTCTCTTTGTCCCAGGGAGGGCCAAGTACTCTGAATGAAATGTGTCTGGCTTTCCTTTTCTATTATCCACGCAACAACATCTCCAGCTGCATGGGATACCCAGACATTCAACACGTGGCCAATGAGCTTGGACAAGAAGCGTCAGAGTGAGTGTTGTTCGGCTGGAGCCCAAGGGCAAAGTGCTTCACTGGAGCCTGGTAGGGAAGGAGTTGAGTAGCCTCTGGCTGATAACTGAGCTGCAAGAAGACTAACTGGGGAAGAGAGATGGGTGCTCTAAAAGGTGATGGAAGGAATCTCAGTACACATTCACAAAACGTGCATCCCAAAACTCAAATGCGTCTGTTCAAAACTGAAATCACACCTTGGGTCCACCAGATGTTGTTAGGCTGCAATGACCATTGCACACAGCCATCGATTGGGTTGGCCAGAGATGGTTGGAGTTGTAATCTCTAACTGCCCCTGAGGACCCAAGGTCAGGAAAGACTGGGGGAGGAGGGAGCTATGAAAGATACATTTCTGTTCACTCTTAACATGCTTATCTCCATCAAGTGCAATAACTGCGAGACATTTCATTTTTTTCCCCTGTGTCCCATCTCTGCATATTTGGTCATTGATTACCTTCTTGGCTGTAGCGATAGGTGCTGTTTTGTTTATCAGCAGAACAGGTGTTTGGCGCTTCTCAGCCCCATCTTCTCTGGCAGGCACCCAATCGGAGGCAGCATCCTGAGGAGGCATGGCAGGGAAGATGGGGCTGGGAATGGATAAACTCCTGTTCAGCTGATAAACAAACTGGAATGAACCACTGGTTTAGCAATTCATGCCCATCTCTTGTTGGCTGGTTGGCTTCTTATATTTATATCTTTTCCTTTAACGAGTTCACAATGGTACAGATGGTATTTCTCTACAATTGATCTTCACAATAACCCTGTCAGGCTGATAGCGTGTGACTAAATAGGTTCTGCTTTGTTTATCAGCAGAACAGGTGTTTGGTGCTTCCAAGCCCCACCTTCTCTGGCAGGCACCCAATCGGAGGCAGCATCCTGAGGAGGCATGGCAGGGAAGAAGGGGGTGGGAATGGATAAACTCCTGTTCAGCTGATAAACAAACTGGAATGAACCACTGGTTTAGCAATTCATGCCCATCTCTTGTTGGCTGGTTGGCTTCTTATATTTATATCTTTTCCTTTAACGAGTTCACAATGGTACAGATGGTATTTCTCTACAATTGATATTTAACGAGCTCAAGATGGTACAGATGGTATTTCTCTACAATTGATCTTCACAATAACCCTGTCAGGCTGATAGCGTGTGACTATCCCAGAGTTTTAGCATAGAATTTGAACTCCCACCGTGTAGTCCAGTCCTTTAACTGCTCCGTTTCTCCTCCCCGCAGTGCAGTGGAAGGAATGATGGCTATTAACCTGGTGGAATGGGACAACGATACCATCAAGAAAGCAGAGAAGACGTGCAAGGAGGTGGATCAGATTGTAATAATTAAAACAATTGATGTAAGCAGGCTCTGTAGGTTTGATATAAACCTAATCTAATCAGCTGAAAAATCAGTTCCATAGCCTTTTGCCAAATAAGAACACTAGGAGAGGAGATTTTTTTTTCTGATTTTCTGAGTGAAGGAGTTTCTGGAATCTGTTTCTTCAGCGGTTCCGTCTAGCAGGATGACTGCAAGCCCACTGCTTGGTCCACTGCAGGGATAGGCTGGTTCACTTCTAAAGACAGCGCTCAGACAACATCTTTGCTGGAGCACACAAGCTTACCCTCAGAGTGATCCTATCTGCACTTTTGTGGCCCCTGTCAGGGGCTTCTACTTTTTCGGTGTGTGTAAGACCGCTCTGGTTTGTTTTGTTTGCCCCCATGTGCAATTGTGGGAAACAAAAAGTGAGCTGCCTTGTTTGAATTGCCAATATCCTGAAGTGGCTTAAGAAGAGAGCCAGTTCAGGATATTGACAAATTAATTAGTTCCTCGGCTTTGTGGAGGGGCCAAGGAAGTGGGTTTTTGTTTTTTGTTTTTAAAAAGTGTGGTGAGGGATTTTTGTTTGCTTTTCTTGACTGACCGTCAACCAGATCTCTTAAGAGAAAAGCAAACAAAAATTCCCCTTGTTGACCCTCCTGTTTCCTACTGCTTCCAGGAAGTTTTCCATTTGGCTTTTGTTTTTGTTTTTTTTAAAGAATGATGCAGCACATAGGACTGCCCTAACACACTTTTAAAAAACACTTTACTGACCCCTCCACAAATTGTTTTTTTTAAAAGAATGATGCAGCACATAGGCACTGCCCTAACACACTTTAAAAAAACACTTTACTGACCCCTCCACAAAACATAGAAAGTGTTTAATTTGCCAGTATCCTGAATTGGCTCTCTTTTTAAGCCACTTCACAAAACTGGCAAATTGACAGCAGTGCAAATAGGGTTGCTTCAGGTCCATACGCCCTTTGGATACAAGGATCCCACCAAATGGCATACCAAACCTAGTAAAACCTTATAAGGCCAATCAAGCTCACTCCAAAAAGTGGTCATGTCGGCCTAGGTCTTTTAAACTACATCCATTCGTCCCTGATTTCTTCAAGAAAAAATAACATGTGACGTTGTCCTAAAGGCATGGGATGGATGGCTTCCTGAACATTTTAACAAGCAAAGATACCTTTAATTTTTGTTTTCTTTCCTTTCCTCCAGGAGGTGGTAAGAAATGATACAGGCTTTATTCGAGATATTATTGACTCCGAACCACTACCATGCAAGGACATCTCCCATCCTTTGGCAAAACGACAAGCTAAGTACCTAACGACACCTCTGCTGACCTCCGAAGCTATGGGTACAAAGGACATCTTCCCACTTCATGTCCTGCGTGTCATACTTTTGGGTTTTACTTGGCTGCTCTGCATCTCCCAGGGTGGCCTGTGAGCCCCACATACAAAGAAAGAGTTATAAGAGATCTGTGATACGCTTAAGCTTTTGGGACTGACTCTTCAACTTTTGCTTTTCTTCAATCACTTTGGCAAGGTGGGTGGGAATTTATTTCCAACCATATTTTCAATATTAGCTGAATGAAATGCAGAGCTGGAGCATTCCAGCCAGCACTGCTGGTGAGGAGTCTGGACACCTTGAATTTCAAGGACAGTCATGCTGTACGAAGTAGCACACATCTCATCTTCTGTAGAGGTACGCCACTAGCAATGTACACAGACCAGGACAACAAGAAAAGTAGGTGTCCTGAGCATCTCGCCCCCATCCTCATCTGTGTGAAGAGCTCAATAAAGTTACTTTTTGGACTACAACACCTAGAATCCCCAACTGGGATGGCCTTGGCAATTAATAGCTAGGGCAGTGATTCCTAGCCTTGGGCCGTACACAGACCAGGACAAGAAGAAAAGTAGGTGTCTTGAGCATCTCACCCCCATCCTCATCTGTGTGAAGAGCTTGATATAGTTACTTTTTGGACTACAGCACCTAGACCCCCCAACTGGGATGGCCATGGCCATAGTAGCTAGGGCAGTGATTCCTAGCCTTGGGCAACCCAGGTATTGGACTGCAACTCCCAAAAACCCCGGTCAGCACCGCTAATGGTGAAGGCTTCTGGAAGTTGCAGTCCAAGAACACCTGGGTTACTCAGGGTTGAGAACCACTGGGCTAGGGGATTTTGTTGTAGGCCCCAAAAGTAACTGTTTCAGGTAGCTTTAAGGGAAAACAAAAGGAGAACCTTTGATAGTAAGCCAGCTAGAGATGAGATGGAGGATGGCATAGACGCCATGGTGAACTTCACACCTGAAACAAATGTCCTTATAGCTTGGGAGTGTAGGGGCTGCACACAGTTAACTCCTGGACCTTGGAGAACTGTACTGGTGCTCCCACAGCTCCCCCAAAAGTTTATAAGGGAGATGTGATGGCAGGTTGAAACCTGGCAAAAATGCCCCCCTTTGAGGGCACAAGAGGAATTTCTTGAGCAAAAATATTTAAACCATTCCAAATTGAGCTGGGCTGGGCAGCGACAAATGGCCCACAGGTTACATTTTGGCTGCCCCTGCTGTACAGATATGGGAAGAGAAGCTGTGGGTACCACCTTCTCCAACCTGTTGGTCTTTGATTACGCTGGATTACAACAACCATGAACCGAGGAGCAAGGCGAGTTGTTGTCAGACACCGGTACAGGTTGCTAAATTGAGGAGAGCTTGGAAGAAAATTTCATTGGTGAGCCTCCATCCCTATGCTCTGATCAAGAGCAGCTTCGGCTTATTTGAAAGTAAGGTGTTGTGGGAAGAAGGTAGCAAACATTAGTCTAATTGGGAGTCTCGGCAGAAGCAATAGAATGCATTTATAAAGGGGAAGAGTGGCATTCGATTATGATCACAGATGGTGGTCCTCATTCCTTCAGTGCACCTTCTGGCCACTTAAAGAGAAGAACATCTGTAGAGGGGCCTATATGTGTTATGATCTACAGGTGTTTCAAATAGCTGCATGGGACTTTAATCACAAATAAATTGTCCTGTCGATTTCAGGAGGATGGTGGCGATCCATGTTTGCTGAGACATGCCCCTGAAATGAGCGAAACTTCCAACTAGGTAGTTTCAATCAAACTCTAGTTGTGTGTGATAACTAGGTTGCACTGGGCTTAGCAAGCTTCTTAAGATCACAGACTGCCATTCTGGATGGAACATTGCTTATATCTTGACATGACTTCAATCTCAACGCATACTCAGATGTGTGTCTAATCCCCAGCTGTGTACACAGCTCCAGATCCACCTTAAAAGAGCTAGATCACACTGAATGCATTCAGGAGATTGGCAGGTCTTCCTGCAGCATGAATGATTCCCTGTTGCACAATGATCAATGTTTGCTGAAGCCAGATGGTAGGCCACTTACTTAGACTGTCAGTCATTGCTGAAGTTTCCTTGCCTTGCCTTACAACCTTTTTGTTAGTTTGTTTGATTTTTGTTTTTTGAAATGGTGCCATCAATACACAGCTGTTTAAACTCTGGGCACTAGGAGGAAAATGGAGATAATGCTCTTTTGGTTTTTAAAGAAGTTTTAAACAGTGAAATCTACTCAGGAATAAGCCTAATGGATTCAATGGATGTTAATTAGGAGTGTGTACCGCATTATAGCTTCAGTCACTTAAGCATGAAATATAATAGTCTCATTGCAGTGTTTGACACCCAGAAAGGATGCTTAATTAACAATAAGAGGGTGCCTCCAGTAATGGAGGTCAGTCCCATTGCGAACCAACTAAAGCCCACACCCACCATCTTTGGAAAGTCATTTGCCTTTCGGGGGTGGTGGTGGTTCAGGAATCAATTGTGAAAGGGTGGAGAAATATCACTGATGAAGACGCACTCTTCCTTTAGTTTACTGATATGCACAAGCTCTGTGTCTAAATAGGTAATTTTGATTCTTAAAGAAAAGGAATGCAATTCTACTCTTCATCTGAGAATAGGGCAAAATGGGGGTTAAAAGGGAGATGGAACTTATCTTCAAATTACAAGTCCAGTTATGTAAATTTCTAGTTAATTTGTTTAGTACATACTGTAGTTTAAAAATATGTATAGCATTATAATATGAAGTGAAGCATTTATTCCTTTAACTATTGGCTGAAATGTTATGTCTGGAAAAAAATTATACACCTTCAATTGACATCTTCTTTGCTAAGATAGAATTCACAATGATTATGCCTAATTTTATTCAAAGTTTTTGTCTGCTAACATTTTTATCAGTCTCTACTTAATATCTGCTCATCGCCTAGCGACTATGTAGATGTTATGAATTTATCAGGCATACAAGGACTATTTCCATATTCCACCAAGAAAACAATTTCTTATCCTGCTAATTATTGTTTGTACGTTTTCTTGGATGAGGACCTGAAATAATTACATAGGATCAAGTTATTATTTGAATGCAATGCAGTCACCATGAAAGCTGAACATGCAAATAAATAATTTGACAATAAAAGGAGAGAGTCAAATTTTCTGTAGACACATCGTGCTCTTTGTTTTAATTTGCCACTATTAATCTCACAGAGAAATATCAGCTGAGAAGGTTAATTTCTGATGGTTATTGTTTTTCTAATGGTCCTCTGCTGCCATCTGGCTAGGGGATCAGGGACCTATAGTCCAGAAAGTGACTTTCCCCAGAAATTCTGTGCCTTGTGGCAGAAGTGGTTGACCTTACTGGGGCCAAGGGCAATTTTGTAGATTTATTGGCAAATCAATCCAAAGGTTGCATTCCCAAGAGCTGGCACTAAAAAGGCCCTGTTGCATGTTGGTTGGTTGGTTGGTTGGTTGGTTGGTTGGTTGGTTGGTTGGTTGGTTGGTTGGTTGGTTGGTTGGTTGGTTAAGTTAAAGCAATCAGTATGTATTGCTACAATTGATTTTTGTTAAATGCTTTCTAGTGGCCAAATATACAACCTTAAAAACAATTTAAAATTGAGGTATGGGGCCCCAGGTATGCAGAGGAGGACTCAAGCATGACAAAATGGCCCCAGCACTCTCTAGAAGGCACAAATGTACAGGCCAAGATGGGATGGGGGGAGCAAGGGGTGTGGAGGTACAGCAAAAAAGTCTGGGAGGGGCTACCCAGAGGCTACATGCTGCTCCCCCCCAAGTATCCTGACGTTTCCAATAACAAGGGGATCAAGATGTTTCTTACTACTTAGAGCTCCCAGAAATGAGGCTAACTTCTGAAACAGGTTGCAGCTTTACATGTACTGCTCACCAAGCACAGAATTCAGGCTGTTGGAATTATTGAATTACAATGGAAGAGCTACTAAGTGAGTGCCTGTTTTTGTTTTTTGCTCAGGTTCTGCGTAGATTATAGCTATGCCACATTCTCCTCCTATATTCTTTTTTCCTCTACTTCCATAAACCAGCCTTTCATACTTAAAACATTATTCAATAATACCCCACCCACTCTGTCTGGCATTAAGTTATCTGCTTAAACAATGGTATCTTTATGGCCACGATTCCATCTACATGCAAAACCTGCATCATTTGTTGGCAGTTCAATACTATGCTACAAAGGATGTTCAGAAGAAAACCAGTCATGACTCTTTGGCTCATGAAAAGCTATGGGTTCTTTTAGAAGAAATAGGCACAACTTTTGTTGTATATATGACAATTTCTGTTGTCAAAGTAATATGAAAATGAAAATCTGTAGTATTTGATTCTGATTCACCCCATAGGCTGAAATCTGTGCCACATTAGAAGTCCCAATCATGTTCACAAGTACAGTACAGTATAGTACGTGAGTTAATTCTCTTGAAGTGAATAATGGAAAAATATACTGAGTTCGGTATCAGGCTATGAAGTCAAAGGTTGGAAGTTCGATTCCCGAATGTACTTCCAGGGAGAGAAAGCAGCTTGTGTGGCCTTGAGCAAAGTGCACAGTCCCAAGGCACCCCCCAGAAGAAGGAACTGGTAGACCACTTCTGAGTACTGCATGCCTAGAAAACCCTTGAAGGGGTTCAGTTAATACATATTTTATATATCATGCAGCAAAGCTGTTACAAAAGCAATATAGCTATGTTTTTGGCTAGGATATATCTATCTATCTATCTATGTCTTTGCTGCATGATTAGGTTTTTGCTTACTAGGCAAGAATAGATAAACAAGGGAGGCCACCTGCTTTCCATTACTTGTAAGTAACTGGTCTAATTAAAAGTCTGTCCCTGGGAAGCTGGGCGATAGAAATGGAGGCACGATTTACTGCTCAAAGCTGGGTTCATGCAGGAATGTGTACCAATTATAGAAACCCCTCCCACTTCTCCACCTCCTCCCAATCCTCTTGGTCCCTCTTTCATGTTATGCCTTATAAAAATGTATGCTTTTGTATCAGGGGCGTGCTTCTTCTCTGCATGTTTTCCGTGTGTGAAGTTGGTGCCTATTTTCAGCTGAAAATAAACAAATATCTATTGG